CGCGGTGGAAACTGCGCCCTCATCAACTACTACGTGGAGGGCATGTGGGCCGGCCTCGGCTGTTCGGATTTCTACTATCAGTTCATGTGCCAGGTAGCTGCTACCTGAATGACGACCGGTGACGGCCGCCTGCGAGACGAAAACGTTTCTGTTTTTGGTTTTTGCATAGAACGGCCGACGACCAATCTGAGCTACAGAAGAAAACGACAATAATTTTCCTGTCCTTTTTGCGCTCAATTAGAGTTTCCTGGAAGAAAGCAACCTTACCTATATTTTTTCTATCCCGCTTCTCTCTTTTTCTCTAAAGCTCTAACCCGGCATTGTTTCCATGTCTTTTTTATACTGTCTCTGTTACAATATTGTTAAATTTACCATTCCATTTGTTTTTAGCGGGCCCAGATTATTACGAACCAGATAACCGTGCAATGAACAACTGTTTTTCCTTGACCACTTGGCCCAGCCACGGGTGCGAAGCGATTAAAAAAGATTTTGTTTGCCAAATAGCTGCCAGCTGAAAAGCAATGTCTGCTATCAGCAATCTGCCGGGGTACGCAAATGCGTTGTTATCATCGATGCTGCCGTGATGCTGGTAAAGTCACAAATAAATCGTGAGATGAAAAAATATGAAAATTGTATACGCGCCATGTTAAAGTACAATATTTTCTACGGTGACGCGATAATTGTTTTAAATATGGTGATGAAATTGACCAGTAACATGGCAGTAAGATGTATTTTTAAATAACAAAATGAGGCCGAAAATATAGAACGAGCTTTCGTCTTTCGTCTTTCGTCTTTCGTGAACCCGATGATGTCGTAAGACGAAAGCTCGTTCTATATTTTCGGCCTCATTTTGTTATTTAAAAATACATCTTACTGCCATGTTACTGGTCAATTTCATCACCATATTTAATTATTTGATCATGGCAAAACCGACCATTCAATACATCAAGATAATTGTTTTCTTTGTTGTAGATAATAGGTACATGCATATTTTTTGTTTTTAGGAGAGAGGGGCTCACCTGACTTTCACGGGTGTCGACCTTTGATCTGTCTTGGGTGACCCCAAGTTTAGTTTTATCACTACTTTACGCGTAGTTATCTCAGACTACGTGTTACGAATGACAGAGGGATGCACGAAGTCGAAAACACTTATGCCCCGATCGGTGGTTCGTGTGACAATGAATGGATGTTCCGAGTTCAAGGTTTGGCATTCATGGTATGCTTGCTAGATGCGAGAATTTCAAAAATTAAAGTCACTATAGTTCGTTTTTTTTCAAAAGGACTCTGGCTCCAAGTATGATTTTCGAATAAGCACGTGTTTTAGCGAGCAAAACGGGCAAAAACTGAACCTGAGAAAATCGAACGTCGACTAATTTTAACATGTGAGTTCTTCCCGATAATTTCCATACGTGCGTTTTGGAACCAAATATGAGAACAGTGATGACGTCATGCTGTCGAACTTGTATTGCAATGTAACGTATAACTATCATGGACGGAACCGCTTACTCGATTATAACCTCGGCAACAGCGAAACACGAAGTTTCCCCCAAATTCGTCGACACTTTGTCCCGTCGTTCGGACATTATGGATGCCTGCTGCCGCCAGTGACGTCATCATAGTATGTTCATTTTTTAAGACACAATTTCCAGGTACTTACCGAGCATAATTTGAAATGGAATATTTTTTCGGTAAGAAATTCTTGGCCAGACGCTGAAGCTGCCAAAACTCACGTGAGAGCTTCGATAATGAACTTGGAGCCAGTCCTTTTGAAAAAAAACGAACTATAGTTATGTTTTTTTTTTGCTTTCCTGAGGTTTGAATTGATTTTGAATGCTTAGAGCAAAACTAACGTGATGTCCACCATCCGCCTGTCGCGTCCAGTGACATCCAAATCAATTTTAACGGTCAATCGGGATCATCTGATGTCAACAAAAAGGCTCTGTACGTTTATAAACGGCTAGAACGGATATTTTGGTGGCACACTGCATGTCCAATTGTCCATGACATCTAGAAGTGAAAATGAAACAATTGCTCACGAAGTTAGCAATACCTAGCTGGGCATAAGTCGCACTAAGGTGCGATAAGGGGTGGCACCTGTTGGTTGACATCGAGTTTTGCGCTACATTCAGCAGATGTTCCGTCACCCTCCCCCTACCCCTCCCAGCCGGCCCAGGGTGGGAACACGCCTGCATGAGCTGATAGCGGAGAACAAATATCGTCCCATGAAGACGAGGTGCATGTCTGATGAGACAGAACCGACACTCCAAATCTGCATAGGGTCTTCGTTACACACAGGTGAGATTGGCGGTCTTTTGCTTGGGGTAATCGAAACATAATTGCAAGATCATTTGTTATTGTGCGTTCAGGTAGAGTCATGCTTCTGATGACCTTTGATTAGAAATTGATCTGCCGTGACAACTGAGGTTCGAACCCCGCAAACATTGTTTTGTTTCCCCTCCGCCGTGTTGCTGGCTTAACCCTCGTACCGTTGGGGGGGGGGGGCAATATGGCCCCCCTGTGGTTTTTCTTGAATAACAAGGAAACGGCGGCGCGCAGCACCGCCAAATTTTCGGACATTTATTTGACACCTTCACACAAAATTTCAAGTCTTAAGTCACCTTAGGTCAGGAGTTATTGAGGTGAAACTGAGGTCACGTTCGAGCAGAAATGAGCAAAAAAAAAACATGAAATTTGAAACGCTCACAAAAGGTACAGTTAACAAGCAATTTCAAAGTTCTTTATGTGGTTGTGTAGAGAAATTCCGCCGCTACAAAACTGCTATCAAGGATTTTCCAAACTTTGTAATTTTGACCCCCAAATTAAAAACAACTGAATTTTTGATAAAATAGCAAAAAGAAATCCCAAACGTGTTTTTAATTTTAAAAAAAAATCGAAATATATATGATAGACCCTGTCCTATTCTATCTATATACAAATTTGAGATCTATACCTTCTTTTTTGGCCAAGTTATAGCGAAAACTATTCAAAATTGATGACGTCAAATTTTTGAACTCATTTTATTTTTCATTTCTCGACCACGTAGAGCAAAACAAAGACTACCATTAAACTCCCCGTGACGAGCCGCATCGAATCGATACCCATTTTATGCAAAATATCAAGTTTTGAAATTTGACCTAATTTGACCTGACCTTGACCTGACCTTCACCAGAACATAACCTAAAATGGCCCAAAAGGCTGCCTAACCCACATAATCACATTTGTCATGTAAAATGGACCATAAAACATGCATCATATATTTTCATATTGTGACCTTCTTTGACCTGACCTCTGTGACCTGACCTGGTATCAGTGACCTCAAATAGCAAAATATGTGTTTGACGAACAATTCCCCATCGATTACTTTCAATGACATGCATTTTACTTGATATTACAACACATTTCTTGAAATGCCTGTAAACGGTGAAAATGCGACATTTGACCTGACCTGTGACGTCATCGGCTTGACCGAGGTCAATAAAATTAGGTCATAAGGTAGTTCCCCGTTGGGGCTATCTAACACCGTTTACTGCTTGTCGCTACGTTGGGTGGTTCTCGAGATCTTAGGGGGAGCAAAATGCCCCCCCCCCCCGCCCCAGCCCCCAACTCGGCAGACCCCAACACGGGGCGCGGGTTAACACATCGATCAGGCTGCCTACATATTATACATATTATACATATTGGGGCATTCCACGATAGATCGACCAAAGCCGTACACCCTCATATTTTATTTTTTGCTTAAAATTGGTCTAATGGGTTGTTATGGGCGGGGAAGCCAGCTGTGCCAAGGATTTTTTTCTTCGAACACCGGTTTCCGAGATATAGCCTCAGGCAATTCCTGGAGGTCACGCTGCAACCCTATGTTTGGCGGCTTGTAACTCAGAAACTATTGGTTTTCAATGGTGAAAACTTTATATGGTTCAACTTGCAATCAACCAGCAAACGTTTTGGCTATCTCGGATTTTCGATTTTTGAAAATTTTGATCACGTGACATCTTGATCTTTTTTCGAAGAGTGACCTTGATATTTTCCCAACTGAAAGTCGCAATTTTGTCTGATGGCCATTAAAGCCTTATCAATTGTCATTCATATGCGACAATAAAAAAAGTGGCTTTCGGCCTGCATTGACCTGAGATCAGGTCATTTTTATGACCTGTCCATTATTACGAGCGGGAGCGACAGCGAGATCTCGAGACTAAAGCAAGATAGCGACAAGTGGTAAACGATACAGGATTCACACGGATAAGGTCTGCAATTTTTACAGAGGTCAATTTCAGGTCAGGTCAAAGATGACGTCACAGGGGTAAAAAGGAAGTCAAAATAGTTTTGGTTGTACCTTTTGATCTAATAAAGAAAGAGACGTAGAATAGGCACCAATCCGTTTGCTTTCGCCTAGCGCCAGTTCGTTTTGAATCTCGATACCGATGACCTGAGGTCAGGTCGATTCCTTGACCACCCCATTATAAGTCAATTGGGGAAAATCAGCTCCCTTATTTTTACACTAAAACGCGTCGGAATTGCCTAATATACCATGAGTGACTCCATATGCGACTAACTTTGACTACCTTGAGACCTTCTTTGCTCTTGGTCAACTGTGACGTTGCTCTTGGGTCATGTGACGTCATCAAAGGTTACCAAATGTTTTTTTTTTTGCTAATAACTCCTTACAGGTTTGAGATACAGCCGCGCGGATAGGCTCATTGTGTTCAGCTCGTCAAGGCCCATCGAATGATATATATATATATATATATATATATATATATATATATATATATATATATATATATATATATATATATATATATATATATATATATATATATATATATATATATATATATATTTACGAAAAAAACCACACTATGGAGTCGATCGTATATGTGCATGTAAAACTAACAGTTTCGGGTCATCTCGACCCCTTGTCAAAGTTTACACACATTGCACAGAGCAACACATCAAGCGAGACATTATACAGATGACATCGATTTCTTTGCACACAGACACATGACACCGTTCAAATGGCGCTTCTCTTGTAAAACCTGGCCTTAATAATTCCGGAAATGACCTTGTTAAATGCAAAATGACCCTGTGACATGTTTATGTTTCTAGTCGTACTAATAAGAGCAGATTCTACAACACGGCGTTTAATGTAGTCATCAGAATGAAAGACAATTTTGGCCCTGTCGAAGTCCATTGAATGTTGGTAGTCTCTAACATGACAGAAAATTGCACTTTTGTCATTTCCCACGCGTATGTCTCTTCGGTGTTCATAAGTTCGTTTTTCTAAATTTCGTCCAGTTTCACCCACATAAGCCGTGTCAGGGCACTCTTTACATGGAATGGTGTACACACCAACACTCGCTCCACTTTTTGGTTTGTTTCGTATCAAAGTCTTTGATATAGTATTTGGGTATGTGAAAGCCACGCCCACACCCTCTTCGCGGCAGATATTTTTGAAACTTGTCAAACCCTCATTGTATGGCAATACTAAACATTTCTTAGGCACTTCACGTTTGTCTCTATGCTTAGTGAAGAAAGTTTTTCTAGCTGCCATGTGAGCTTCATGTATGAACCATTCTGGGTATCGTAACCCTGTAAATATCCGTTGGATATTTAGTAACTCATCATCTAGTGTTTCTGGGCTGCAAACTTTGTACGCTCTTAGATAAAGTCCCAAAATCACTGCCTTCTTGACACGTTTGTCATGAAAGGAATAGTAGTGAATGTAAGAGTTTGAATTTGTCGGCTTTCTGTACACTGAAAAGCGAAACCCTGATGAAGTTCTCTGAACGAGAACGTCCAAAAATGGGATTTTGTTGTCCTTCTCCCACTCTACTTTGAAGTTGATGCAAGGGTGTAGGTCATTCAGCTTAGAGAAAAAGTTGTCAAAGTCGCTGTCTTCTGGCCAAATGGAAAACACGTCATCTACATATCTAAGCCAAACCATACCGGGCGGAGCTATATCTTTAAGCAGCCTGCTCTCGAAATACTGCATGAAGAGGTTCGCCAAGATAGGTGACAGGGGGTTCCCCATCGCTAGGCCAGCTTTCTGTCTATAAAAGCGATCGTTCGCTACGAACACGTTGTCATCCAACACCAGTCTAACCAGCTCAATGAACTTCTTGTTAGAGACAGGTATATCTAAGTTAAGTCTCGGCAGGACTTCTTCCAGGTACTTAATTGTTTCTTTGACTGGCACCATCGTAAAAAGTGAGTCCACATCAAAACTGACCAGCCGACTTCCTGTCGGAATGTTAAGACCCTTAACCTTTTCACAAAAATCTTGGCTGTTGCTTACATTGGAGTCCGCGCTGGCACTCACTGCTGGAGCGAGGTGATCGGCAAGCCATCTCGACAGTTTGTAGGTCACAGATCCAATTTGTATTTGTATTTGTATATTTAAAATCGCCAACAGACAATAAGTCCACTTAAAAGGCGAAGTCAAAGAGACAGTAAAACAGCACACACCCACACACACAACACACACACACCTACATACACACACACACACTGAAGATAAAAACACGTAGGGTTATAAACACAGGAGATGTAAATAAATAAATAATAGCCTAAAAAGCCTAGTAAACAAGAAACACTAAAAGCACAGCGGATGCGATCACGCCGCTTCCAGCCCTTTCACATAGTTTAAAACGTGTCCTCTAAAAGTGTAGAAACTATCGCTAAAAACATCAGCGGGACTTCTAGTTAAAAACACGTTCATGGCCCTCGGTAGTCGGCGCAGAAAACCATCCCCGACGGTCCGTACGCGCCAGGGAAGCTCGGCGAAGAGCCGCTGTGAGCGGGTTGATCGCGGCGGCACATGGAGCGGAAATCTACCAAGGAGGTTAGAAGAACGGATTTTACCGGCCAGGATATTCCTCAGGAAGAGCAGGTCGTGTTGGTTTCTACGGACAGACAGTGATGTAATACCAAAATGATGCAGAAGAGAAGGATAGGACAGAGAGGAACATGGCGAGGATGTGTGGCTATTCAACCACAACAAGAATTTGTGCTGCACACGATCAACCCGCTCTGTGTGGGATTTGGCGATTATATCCAATATTGGATATAATCGGCCTGAGGGGCGTGCCTACCTTGTGCGTTTTTGGGAGACCATACATGTAAGGTAGAGACCACGGTATATAGAGAACTAGGTAAAACCGGTTCGAAATTACAACACTAAGGTATTTTGACCACTATTTTCAGCTGACCTTTTAAGTCTAAAAAAGAGAACTAAGCAACAGATTTCAATGAGTTTTATACTTTGTATATATATTTTTGATTTATGATCACAGAGCACGTCATGTATGAACCTGTGAAGCATTAACGAAAATAAATTGTTGGCTATCTCCGCCATTTCAAAAATTATATATCTTAAAATGCAAAGATTGTTCATGGACGAAATTAATTTTTCACAATCAAAAATTAAAATTGAAGGATAAAAAAGTAATATCAAAGGCCGACACTCTTTCATTTAATTTCGAAATTATTATGGTTCTGAGCTGTTCAGCCTTCCGGACCTGCCAATGCTCCACCCTGAATTGTCGAGTAATTTCAGTGATGCGGGGTTTAAAATATGGTCAAAAAATATCAAAATTGAAATATCTTTCAGATTATGTGTGTTTTGTTGGCTTTTAAACATTTGAAACTGTATTTAGTTGATGTTGAAGACACAACCGCCATTGGTGTCCTTGGTCACCCTGTCCCACTAAATGTAATATTTTTTGAAAACAAGACCGATTCGGCATTTAAATGAATCACCAAAATAATAAAAAATACTCACATTATAACATATCAAAATATCAAAGCTCATCTAAATCGGGAAATTTGGCAATTGGCTTCCGAATATGAAACTTAGTTTTTTTAGAAACTGAACAGTCCTGAACAAAAACAACAATATTTGGTAAAGCTGTCGGAGGTTGGCGTACAAAAGGACTTCTTTGAAATTAAAATTCAATTTTCTTTCCAGATATGCATGTTTTATTGCAGTTTTCATGTTGTAAGCTACATTTTTCTGGTCTGGAATGTATTAGTGTCCTTCCTGCTAAAGGTCTCACTGTAACATTCAATAGAATATTACTAAAAAACAAGACTTAGTCGGCATCTATTGAAGTCACGATATTTAAGCAAATTAAATTCTCTATCTGATAAGATAAATTTTAAAACCAATATAAATCGGGAACTCGCAGAATTTGGTGTTGAACCCTGCGGGCCATGATTTACAGCCACAAGTTGCGTACTGTAAATGCTGCTAATATACGTTTGTCGCTAGCAGACGCACGACGTTGCATTCGATTGGCTAAGCGACGTTTTATTTGCTGACAGAGAACACTTTTTAGTTTCAACATGTTTTCTGACTTGGTTTTTGTTGATATTGGTTTATGTTGATGGGAAACGGAAGTTAATGCATAGGTAATTTTAAAACCTGTTTTTTCATCGTGGGAGATTATCAGTGACCGGTTTGGGTTGGGTGATTTTGTGTTTTAGCTTCTAATCTGTGATATTCAAATAGCTGGGAATGACTCAAGTTGGCCCCTAGAGCAGTGAGGTCTGAGACAAAAAGAACCATGAAAAAATGTATCAAGCAAGGCTATGTAAATTGTAAACCATGTTAAGTATATTCTTCATTAATGATTATAAATGTTATTTATATACACTGTGATAAATGTTTTGTCTCACAGGAAAGACGTCTTGGTATCGATTAAGCGAACATAGCACGAGCTGCCATTTCAATTTGGGCGGGAATGCGTATTACCTACAACCTGATCAAAAGGACCATGAAAAAATGTTTCAAGCAAGGCTATGTAAATTGTAAACCATATTAAGTATATTCTTCATTAATGATAATAAATGTTTTGTCTCAGGGAAGACGTCTTGGTATCGGTTGGGCGAACATAGCACGAGCTGCTATTTGGGCGGGAATGCGTATTAACCTACAACCTTGAACCTGTTATTGGCTACGCGCCCTAATCCACGAAGAAGAAGAAAGAAGAAGCTTGTGCTACGTCTGCCTTATCGTTACCAACGTCTTCAGTGAAACACTTTCAGCAGTGCAGATGAGAAAAATTAATTGAGCAAATATAATGTCGTAGGTACATATCACATATAAACCAGGTTACCATCAACATGTCAGGTGTAACAGGCAGATTGCGCTGAAATTTCAGCACAGTGTCCAGAGTAATGGTGAAACTTCAGTTTTTTACATTTAAGATTATAAAGAAACACAATTTTGATGAAGAGTAACCAATGAATTTGAACAGTGAACACTAGAGTAACTAATTCAACTATTTGTTGTTATGCAGACTGCCCGCCAGCGGACGGAGGCCAACCGACGGACGCCGGCTCAAAGGCCAACAGTGGCCCGCCCGCCGGCCGACACCGGCCCGCCGGCCGACGGTGGCTCGTCGACCGACACCGGCCCGTCGGCCGACTACGGCCCTCCGGCTGATGGTGGCCCGCCAGCCGACGGAGGTCCGCCGGCCATTCGTGGCACGCCCGCCGACGGCAGCTCGACTACACGTCCTGGCTATGTCACCCCCAAGATTACTTCGCCCCCCCCCCCAAGTCCCTAGGTGAGTGGCTGGAGAGTGGAGAGAACTTTGTGTGTTGCCGGGACGGGATGCCTGCTAATGCAGGTGCCGTTGCAGGGATCGTGACGTATGATGGGTCTCAGACTCGGGCTACGACTTTTGAGTGATAAACGTATACATAAACAGGCTAGTGTATTGCAATTACGGCGAAGTGTGCGACAGGAAACGATATGAGCTATGAGTTGTCGTCGCCGTGGCGGAAATTTGATGACCGTAGCAACCTGTGACGTCGCCGTGACTGCTAATTGACGATCGCATTGGCTCGTGTGTAACGGTCACTGTGCCTGGTATGTGACGGCCGCCGTGACTGTTTATATAACGGCCGTCGCGACCGAAACGGGACGGTCGTCGTGAGACCTGACGTGTCGCGACTCGCTGTGTCACAGGTCACCAGTTGCGGACGCTTCATCTGACGGTGTCGTCCGACGGCTCCACGGTGACCAGCGCCGCCACTGCGGAAACCATCGGACCCCGAAAATGCTGCTAGCCGTACACGAACAAAAGGCGCCAGGCACCCAGGACCAGCGCCCTGCTCCGAGGGGGTATCTAAAGAAGGCCGCATAGTGCACTTGCTGTGCTAAGGCATAGTGCGCGCTGACTGATAGGAACAAATGACGGTCAGTTATCAGATCTCAGTATGGAACTCAAGATGGTCGGAGCCGACCTGGCCCGGTGGATGGTGTGCCAGGGTTGATTAAGTGTCGAAAGGAGTGAGACGCCGAGATATGTGAAGGATACGTCGATACGAGCCCCGGCTTCGACTCCCCGTCCCAAAACGATGTTGGCTGTGATTGGAGTTTGGTATCTTTACGGATTTCCCCCCCCCCCCCCCACCCCTGAATTTGTGCTATGTAATAGGACGATAATATGTCGTGGTCTCATTCTGGCTCGATATGGTAATAGGTACTTAATTGGACAGATGTTGATGGTATTGGTGGTGGATGTAAATGACAGGTTTGGCGAGCGCGAACTAGTAATCGTGAGTGCACTAGCTGCAATCAGTCGCGCGCTTATTGCTGAGCACCTGTGAGCAAGAAAATGGTATGAAAGTGGTAGTTCGTCGTGAAATCTGTGTACTTTTGGATTAAGTTTTCAGAACGGAAGTGTATTTTTGCCGTGTCCACTGCAGCTCTGGAACAGAAACATAGAGATCGGCTGTGTGCTGTAGCAGGGGCAAGTAGTCCGTGCCAAAAAATCAAAGGTGATATGTGAATTTAAGTGAATATACCTCGCTTTATTTTCAATTTTATTATAACAGAACAAATGCGTCGACTGCTGATTACCCTCGGCTCCCAACAATAACGTTTGCAATACTGGAAAGTACATAGAAAATAGATACCCTTGCGACCGACTGGCGCGATCCGAGAATCTCTCTCTGTTTTTGCGGACCTACACACGAAAACACGGCCGAATAGCTATGAGCGAGAGCACGGAACGATGCTGGTGACTGACGGACCAGCGAAAATAGAGCTCCCGTCTACGCGCGGAACAGCGCTGATTGGCGCGGCTCACAGACTCCATTGGCTCATCAGAGTTCAGACTGTTAACGGTTGTTGCTCCTCCCTCCCCTCCCCGAGAGGGCGTAGCCAAGTAGCTTAGTTGTGTGCGTAGCTGGCGGCCACCGCCCAGTCGTCTTTTTGCATCTGTTTAACCGTTGAGTGGATGGTATCCAGACGAGCTAGGCGTCGGCGTCGCCCATCCAGCGGTCGGGCACGGGGCAGCGCAGGTGGACGGCCGCGGATGGTCCGCACCGATCTCGGCACACTCTGCAGAGTGCGGCCGGACGCTCCACGGAGTTGCATATTGTCGATAGGCCGTATGGTGTCGTTGTCGTAATTATAAAAGCGTAAGTAGAAGGCTGAAGCAAGATAGAATGCTATCGTTTTCGAGCTTTGTTACACATAATTAGTACATAGGTATTGGCCGTTTCTTTACAAATAATATCGCAAAGCACAGCTTTATGTGCTGGTAACGATAAGTGCGCGTTGGTTGCGGCGGTAATCGTCGAAGAAATATATAATTTATGAAAGTTTCTTGATCATTGAATGATAAACATGGCAATGTTTGCCTGTTGTGAAGGAGACTCCTATACTGCCGCTCTATCGTCCGGAATTATTCGTGTCTGATAACGGCGATTCCGCCACTCTATCAGCTGATTTTGTTTCCGAGTCACGTGACCAACCGGTGTCTCCCTGGTAGAGACGAGTTGATGCTTTGGAACTGCTTGCAAAATTCTGTGTTTCCAAGAAGCTTCTTTAGTTTTTTGTTGAACATCTTCACTTTATCTTCTAAAGGATTCTTCGCCAGTTTTTCGTACGTTTGCACGTCCGCCAGAAGGTCATCCAGTTTGCTGTTGTAGTGACCACGATCCAAAATCACTATTTGATTTGTTTTGTCTGACTTCGTTATTAAAAGTTCTTTCCTATCTTTCAGCGCCTTCAGGGCCAGAGCAAATCTTCTGGGGATGCCGCCTTTCTTTGTACGGGCATCAAGTGAGCTGAGTAGACATCCAGTTAAAAACTCATGTGACAACTCACCATCCTTATTGGCTTTCACTAAGGATACCAGATGATCTAAATTGAACTCATCCGTCGGTCTCGTTGAACCGTTTGAACCGTTTGAACCGTTTGAACCGTTGAACCGTTTCTTCGTACCGTTTGAAACCCGATGAAAAGCTAGTTCTTGGATATGGCCTGCAATTTTCAACGAGACCGACGGATTTTTGACCGACGGAGACCGACGGAGACTGGACGAAATTTAGAAAAACGAACTTATGAACACCGAAGAGACATACGCGTGGGAAATGACAAAAGTGCAATTTTCTGTCATGTTAGAGACTACCAACATTCAATGGACTTCGACAGGGCCAAAATTGTCTTTCATTCTGATGACTACATTAAACGCCGTGTTGTAGAATCTGCTCTTATTAGTACGACTAGAAACATAAACATGTCACAGGGTCATTTTGCATTTAACAAGGTCATTTCCGGAATTATTAAGGCCAGGTTTTACAAGAGAAGCGCCATTTGAACGGTGTCATGTGTCTGTGTGCAAAGAAATCGATGTCATCTGTATAATGTCTCGCTTGATGTGTTGCTCTGTGCAATGTGTGTAAACTTTGACAAGGGGTCGAGATGACCCGAAACTGTTAGTTTTACATGCACATATACGATCGACTCCATAGTGTGGTTTTTTTCGTAAATATTGGTGCAAAACTAAGTTGCAGTTCGTTTCAATATATATAAATATATATATATATATATATATATATATATATATATATATATATATATATATATATATATATATATATATATATATATATATATATATATATATATATATATATATATATATGATGACCTTAAGGTCACGTGACCTAAGGTCAACTTTTGACCTTGACCTTTCGAGGTCAACATATACATGTTTCGATGCGGATCGACGAGAGGATCACGATGGTGCTATTAGTTTGTTCCTAGCTGGGATACTTCGAAAGTTATTTGAGAAAAAACTTCATATATATGTAGTGCCGCCATTTAGACTTTCTTTTTTACCCCTGTGACGTCATCTTTGACCTGACCTGAAAATGACCTCAGTAAAAATTTTAGACCTTATCCGTGTGAATCCTGTATCGGTTACCGCTTGTCGCTATCTTGCTTTGTTCTCGAGATCTCGCTGTCGCTCCCGCTCGTAATAATGGGAAGGTCATAAAAATGACCTGACCTGAGGTCAACGCAGGCCGAAAGCCACTTTTTTTATTATCGCATATGAATGACAATTGATAAGGCTTTAATCGTCATCAGACAAAATTGCGACTTTCAGTTGGAAAAATATCAAGGTCACTCTTCGAAAAAAAGGTCAAGATGTCACGTGATCAAAATTTTCAAAAATCGAAAATCCGAGATAGCCAAAACGTTTGTTGGTTGATTGCGAGTTGAACCATATCAAGTTTTTGCCATAGAAAACCAATAGTTTCTGAGTTATAAGCCGCCAAACATAGGGTTGCAGCGTGACCTCCAGGAACTGCCCGAGGCTATATCTCAGAAACCGTTGTTCGAAGAAAAAATCCTTGCCACAGCTGGGTTCCCTGCCCATCACAACCCATTAGACCAATTTTAAGCAAAAAATAAAATATGCGGGTGTAAATTTTAAGTTTTTTTGGTCGATCTATCGTGGAATGCCCCTATTATACATAATATTTCTAGTATATACATATAATACCCAGTGCATCCAGAAACCTCTGACGATACGGGGCTAGAATTCGTGTTTGCTACAGCAAGCAGATATTGTTTTGCATTTATCTGTGATTAGGAAAACTCTATGGCGATTGAATGTTCTTACTTCCATTTCCCATTATGGTTGACTACAGGAATGACAAACCTGCACAAATATTACTTCACTTGATCAACGTGGAGTGTTTTGAAAGTTCGTTTTCCGAATTTTAGAACTTGGCCGGTTTTAAATTTTATTTTTGCTTTTAACCCGCGACCGCCTGGGGGGGGGTCGGATCCGACCCCCCCTCCGTTTTTCTTGAATAACTCATGAACCACTTTCGCTATCTACTTGAAACTTGGCATACTTTCTCCCCCATCAATTTGACGTCTCCTGTGCAATTTTTAAGAAAAAATTTCCAATTTTTTTTTTAGATATATCGATTTTAGTGATGTAACTACATGGCGTTTGTCAAAAAGTGGTAAATGTTTAAAAAATCGCAAAAAATCAGGGTTTGAAGCAAATTGCAAATTAAGGACATCAAAAGACGCAGCTCAACGAGTTCTTTAAAATGGCTATCTCGGATTTTCCATAAAATGCGTTTTTCACCCCTAAAAATTCAAAAAACTATATTTTTGGAAAACAGCTAATAAAATCCAAAATTTTGGGAATTTCCAAAATACCGGAATATATGTTGTAGAGCTCTATTAGAACATTAGATGCCCCAAATTTCAACTTTCTATCTTGATTTTTGACCCCAAATTGTAAAAAATAGCTCCAACATGCATAGGGCATGGTGACTTCATAAGCATTTTCGTGAATTAGAGGCACTTCTGAACATCGCATGTGAAAACAAATGGCTTCACTAGATTCCTTGGACAAAGCTCGTCTAGCAAAGTGCATTTTTATGTCAAAAATAAAAAGTTGAAAAATTGACCTTTTTTCTTAGCCCTCGTTTAGTTATGTATAGTATAAACGATTTTTTATGCTTTCAATGCACACTTATCACCAGCACAGTGACTTGGGGTCACATATAACCATTACCATCGGATTTGGCGTGAAAAATAAGCCATAAAACATGTGTCGCACGCCCATGTAGCAGAAAGTGAAAACCGTGACCTTTCGTGACCTGACCTGACCTTGACCTGTACCTAGTATGACCCCTATACGCACATGGTACCTTCACTAGGCCTTTGAGGTCATTTTTGGTGAGTTTCGAGCAGCAGCTATCGATTCCGCTGTCCCTAAGCCGATTCATGCAAAACCCCTGAATTTGACCTTTGACCTGACCTTGACCCGAAAGTTGACCTTAATCTTAAAATCTTAAGAGTGCTTTGGGAAGGTCTCGTAGAGATCTTTCGAACGCCGCCTCGCGGGGCTCGATACGACCATTGGTTCTCGAGATAACAGGGGGGGGGGGGTCGGATCCGACCCCCCCCCCCCAGGCTGTCGTGGGTACGGAAATAGCCCAGGCGGTGCCGGGTTAATAGCCCGTGTTCCTTTACCCACAGCAAACAAGGCTCAGGGGTGACGTCATTACCGTCAGTAGTGACGTCACCACCATCACGATGACGTTGACTCTGCGTCTGACGCTGATGGCCGCCGCCGTCACCGCCATCACTGCAACCTGCCCCTCCTCCGAATGGAAGCAGTTCCGGGACAAATGCTACTGGTGGACGCATCTAAAGTCTGTACCACGGCGCACCCCAACGGAACAATGGTGTCCATTCATGACGCCGAAGAGAATGCCTTCGTCGCAGAGGAAGTCGCTAGCAGGGGCAGTACGTCTCGAACTTCTTGGATCGGCCTGTCGAGACACAACAGCTCTTCTTCCTGGACCTGGACCGATGGAACCTCGTACGACTTTCATCTATGGTATAAGGCTGACCCGGACTATCACAGTGGAAATTGTGCCCTTGTTAACTACTACGACTGGACCATGTGGGCCAGCTACGATTGCTCAGATTATTACCAATACTTCATGTGCCAAGTAGCTGCCACCTGAACGACATAGTCCGGTGATGGCCGCCTGCTGAGGTGGGAGCGTTTTCGGTGTCGGGTGTTTGGGTGTTGCCCTGAATAAACGACAGACTTACCGCAATAAGTCGCTCTACTGACATTGGAAGACACGATATTAGTTTACCCAGTTCAGTTTAACTAAGATTTTTCTGACCGATAGCTCTCTCTCCCTTCCCCGCCCTCTTCCATTCCTGTTCCTTACTTTCCCCATGGGTGCACTCCTTATTGACATTATATGGGTTTCGATATTTATAGCTTTCGCCTTTATTGTATCGTCAGATTCAGCATTCCGGTAACTGTCTTTGTGTAATAACATATTTGTATGTCTTTTCTGCTGCGTTATTATTTATTTTACGAGTATTCTATTATTCGTCACGGCAAAAACCAAAGGGGGGGGGGGTGCACGAGGTCATGACCCCTCTCCTTCAAAAGCTCGTGCTGATAGGGACAAGCTTGAGCCATCTGCATCTCAAACCATTCCTTTATGTGCACATAGCTGTGGAAGAATCGGACACATACTTTGACCCCCTCCACCCCAAAAAAGTGGCTCTTTACGCCCACCATCGTTCTCAATTTGGACCCTGGTACGATGAAAATGGAAAATCAAATATTTTTTTTTTCGATAAGCAGCAAAGATCGTTGATTTGTCCTACATGTGCAGTGGGAGCCTGAGGAGTGCACAATCCCAAGAACATTCCCTAGCCAAAAAATAAACATTTTCATGAAATTTGAGGGTTGGGATATAGGCCAGTGAGACTTAGTGGAACGGACCTTGGGTACGAGGCCCGATTTGGGGATATTTCGACGCAGTAGTTCTTGGGATATCGCAGAATTCTTGCTAGCACCGCTGAACTGATAACAATCTCGGCTTGCGACTCAAGTTCTCTGTTTAAATTGCACGCTGAACACCTGTCATTTCCAACGATAAGATGTATGTCACCTGTTGGTTGCCACTTGCCATCGAGTCTTGCACTGCATTCGGCAGCTGTTCCACCCCCCACCCCTCCCCAACCCCACCTGTGGTGAGAACAACGTAGGACGAGCAAATCGCAGACCTATAAAAATTGCGCACCGAAGACTACGCGCAGCCAGCTTTGCAGTTACAGAGCCGACACTACTGAACTGCGCAGGACCTTCCACTAAGGGCAGGTGAGAGCAGGCGCATTTGTTTTGACCCTCGCCAGTATGGGTGGGGGGTCGAACGGACCCCCTTGGTTTTTTCGCGAATAACTCGCGTAAAATGCGGCCGATCGCGACGAAATTTCAGTACCTTCGAGTTAATCAATTTTACACCTACTCTGAAAATTTCATGACTCTGACCCAATTGATCTTTGACCTGTTAATGTT